ACCCTCACCCCGCACAGAGCCCGAGTGCCCTCCCCTGGCCCCGTCTCAGTGTCCGCCTGGTCCTTGCGTCCCCTGCAGCACATTCATCATCGAGAAGCAGCCCCCTCAGGTCCTGAAGACCCAGACCAAGTTCGCAGCCACCGTGCGCCTGCTGGTGGGCGGGAAGCTGAACGTGCACATGAACCCCCCGCAGGTGAAGGCGACCATCATCAGCGAGCAGCAGGCCAAGGCTCTGCTCAAGAACGAGAACACACGCAAGTAAGCGCCACTCTCTCCCAGCCGGCCCCTCCCCAGGCTCAGGCTCAGGGCTGCTTCTGTTCCACAGTTGGGGTCTCCTCCCCTTTTGTCGTGCATCCTGGCATACAGACATGTCCATGTCGCCCTAGTTCAGTCTGTCTGTTCCAGTGTATGCTGTGTTTTTCCTGCTCCAAGGCCCTCCCCAGGCTCTGCCTTTGCCTGCCACATCGTGGTAAACTGCCCGGCACACTGTGGTGTTCCAGTGCCTGTGCCAAGCAGCAGGACTCAGCCGTGGCCTGGACAAGACTTGGCTTCTTCCCCCACGAGCCTCTGTCACCTGCTATGCCATGTCTGGGGCACTGTGGAAGAGGATCATGGTGTGGGCCATCAGGAAATGACAGTCTCGTGCTGCCAGCTGGACAGGAGGTGGCTCATGATGGGGGCAGAGAGGGAAGCCCTTTTCATGCTGGGCAAGCATGTGCTGTGTCCCGCAGGAAACGTGGAGAAGAAGCAGGTGTGGCTGCAGGACCCAGGGGTGGGGTCCGGGGCAGGACAGGCCACCCCCAATGCGTGTGATGGATGGATGAGTGAGTAAGTGAATGAGTGATGTGGGACACTTGGTCCCATCCTTTGTCATCCAATTTTAAAAAGTTACTGAGTGGGACCAACAGATGGCGTAATAGTTACATTGCTGGACTCTCACATGACTGACTATGGTTTGAGTCCTGAACCCAGAGGCTTGAAACTCAGGCTGGGGGTGTGTGCATGTATGCCCAAAATCCCAAGATGAGAATGGAGAAGGAACTGTGGTGTGGCCATCTCCCACCTCCCGGGGAGAGGGGGCTGATTTGTTGATTTCTGTCTGTCTCTCTCTGGCAAGTACACATGGTCTACAGGAAAAAATCTCTCTAAAAAAGAGAAAGAAAAAGTTACCGAATGCCACCATGTGATCTGAGGGTAGGATGATGATGGCAGTGAACCAGGTTCTTACTGTCTTGGAGCTTACAGTTTAGCTGCAGAGCAAGTATACACTTTAAGACTAAGGCATGTGGGACTGGCAGGTGGTATGGTGCCTAGAGCACTGGACTCCCATATGGCCAACCGTGGTTTGAGTCCCGGACCTGGCAGCTTGCTTTCTCACTTTCCCGCTCTTTCTTTCTCTCACTCTGTCTCTCTCTGATCAAATTTAAATAAATAAAGTGAAATGAAATCATTCTTTTTTTTAAAAAAATGAAGGGACCAGCAGTTAGCGTAATGGCTATGTCACTAGACTCCCGTTTAGTCGACCATGCTTCAAGTCCCAGACCTGGTGGCTTAAGCTCTTGCCGGGCGCGTGTGCGTGCATGCCCAAGATCCCAAGAAGAGAATGGAGGAGAAGGGATTGTGGCATGGCCATACCCCTTGGGGGTTGATTTCTCGCTTTCTGTCTCTCTGTCTCTCTCTATCTTTCTGGTGAACACACGTGCCCTATAGCAAAAACCTCTGCAAAAAAAAAGAAGGCAGTATTTGGAGCCAGGTGGTGGTGCCATGGTGAAGCAGCCGTGCCTCTATGGGAAAGACCCTAAGTTGCATTCTGGGGCCTCCCTGAACACACATGCCCACAATCCAGGCTGGCTGAGACTGGGGTTGGATCACGGTGTGGATCCACTGGGAGTGCTGTCTCTCTGTCTCTCTCATGGAAGAAATAAGTAAACTTTAAAGCAAACAAACAAAAATAGGGCACTGTCAAAAAGTGATAGAGGGGCCAGCCCATAGCATAGAGGTCAAAGCAACTGGATCCCAAATGGCCAACTCTGTAGTTCAAATCCCAAACCCAGCAGCTTGAAAAACATGCCAGGCATCTGTACATGCGTACCCAAAATTCCAAGAGGAGAATGGAGACAGGATTACAATGTGGCCCTTCCCTCTGGGAGGTGATTTCTCATTTTCCTTTTTTCTCTCTCTCTCTTTCTCCTTTCTCTCTCTGTTTCTCTCTGGTGAGCACATGTGCCTATGACAAAACTAGGGGGGAAAAAAGGTGGGGGCAAGCTGGTGGCATGGGGGTAAGGCACTGGACTCCCACATGGCCAACCGTGGTTCAAGTCCCATACCTGGCAGCTTGTTTTTTACTTTCCTTCTCTCTCTCTCTCTGTCTTTCTCTGGTGAACGCATACACCCTATAGCATGTGCCCTATTTAATAATAATAATTAAATAAATAATTCTTTTTAAAAAAGTGATAGAGTCTAGAAAAAATTAAAGCAGAGTGATATAGCATCTGCGTGTGTGTTCAGGGGCAGCGCTGGGAGGAGCCTGGCAGGGTGAACAAGGTCAGGTAGGTAGGTGGTCGAGGAACATCTTTCTGAGGAGCTATGTGAGTTGAGAACTAAATGAGGAGGTCATGAATGTGGGGCGACAGGAACAAGTGCAAATGTCCCGGGGTGAGCATGGCCTGTTCAACAGACAGCCAAGGCCAGCATGCCTCCTGAGCTAGGGGAAGGGAACCCACTGAGGCCAGAGAGGTGGGTGGGGGTCGTTCTGGGGATCCATGTTGTCCGTCATCATGGTTTTTATATTAGGAATACTTGGAGCTACCAAAGGACCCCAAGGTCCCCTACATCAATCTTGATGCCCAGGGAATGTCTAAACTAAAGATGGAGATCCAGGGGGCCAGTAGGTGGCCTAGTGGTTAAAGCACTGGACTCCCAAATTGCCAACTGGTTCAATTCCCAGGCTTGGTGGCTCGTTTTTTCACTTTTTTTCTGTCTCTCTCTCTGGTGAGCGCACATGCCCTATAGCAAATTTTTTTTTAATTAAATTAAGTTAAATAAATAATTCTTTAAAAAAAATAAAAGATCGGGAGCCAGCCCTCATCCAGAGACCTTGCGCTGGGTACTGTCAGGTTGATGGAGAAGACAGTAACTCAGGGAGACATCGAAGAACACTCCTATGGGGTGGGCGGCCAGCAGGCCTGACCAGGGTGGAGACCCCAGCTGGAGATGTGGACACGACCAATCCCCCAGCCCAGGGCCACGTGTCCCCTCCTCCCTGCAGTGAGTGCAGTGGCGAGATCCTGAACAACTGCTGCGTCATGGAGTATCACCAGGCCACGGGCACCCTCAGCGCCCACTTCAGGAACATGGTGAGGACAGGGCCTGGCCTTTGAGGGGAAGGTCTGCCATGCGCTGAGTTCTCGTAACCAGCTGCTGCCTCACGGTCCCTCACTCACCTCTTACCTTGCAGTCACTGAAGAGGATCAAGCGTGCTGACCGGCGGGGCGCGGAGTCTGTGACGGAGGAGAAGTTCACGGTCCTGTTTGAGTCTCAGTTCAGTGTTGGCAGCAATGAGCTTGTATTCCAGGTGAAGGTGAGGCTGCTGGCTCCCCCGTCCTGCAGGTCACTCCGAGAGGTGGAGGGACCTACCCGAGGCCCCCTGGCTGCTTAGGGAAAACCAGGGAGCTCTGAATCCTCATGGTGTTCTCAGACACTTACCCTAGGAGATGCCAATAGGAAGTGTACTTGGGCTGGTCCCAGAGGAAGCCAGATCCCACATGGCTGACCAGGGTTTTGGTCCCAGCTCTGGCACCTTGAAAAACACCCTGGGCGCTTGTGCATGTGTGCCGAGAATCCTGACAAGATAGAGGAATGGAGGAAAGAGGATTGCAGCTGTCTCTACCGCATTGTTGGGTGCTTTCTGTCTTTCCTTCTTTCTTGCAGGGTTCATGAATATGCCCTCTGACATTAAAAAAAAAAAAGTAGAAAAGACAGTGCATTTTAGGGCCAGCCAGTGGTGTGGGCTAAGGTGGCTGGATCCTACATGGTCAGCTGTGCTATTCGAGTCCCAGACCCGGCAGCATGAAACACATGCCAGGGACGTGTGTGTGCGTGCCCAAAATCCCAAAAGGAAGATGGAGGAGAAGGGATTGCAGCATGACTATCCCTCCTGAGGGGTGATTTCTCACTCCCTCTCTCTCTCTCTCTGTCTCTGGTGAGCGAATGTAACCCATAGCAAAACTAAAAATAAAGGAAAGAAGAAAGTGTACTGTCCCTCCACAGGTCCCTGTTTGCTAGGCAATAATCTGGCAGCAGCCCACGCTGTTTTGTTTCTCATGCGCAGGTTGTGTTGGGAGGAGCCTGTGGTTGGAATCAGGGGGTGAGGAATGAGAGTTGGGGTCTTGCCTAAGCAGAGGGCAAAACGGTGGTCATGTCCCCTCAGCTTTCATTCTTCTGACTCCTTAGACCCTGTCCCTACCCGTGGTTGTCATCGTTCACGGCAGCCAGGACCACAATGCTACTGCCACTGTGCTGTGGGACAACGCCTTTGCTGAGCCAGTGAGTGCCTGTGGGAGCTTTGTCTTGGTCCCCAGACCCCAGGACTGTCCTCAGGGTCAGCCCCACCCCTTAGGCCTCAGACCAGAGATGAGGTCTGGGAGAAGGGCAGCTGATGGTGAGTGCCCCAGCCTCCCAGGCACGTCCTCTGGGCTCTGTCTGGGGTCTGGGTTTCTGGACTGAGGTCTCTGAGGTCTTGGGGCACTGGTTCCTGATCTCCGTCCTTAGTCCCCATTCTAGCTCTCTATTCTGCATGCCCACTCCCCCTCCCCTGACTCCTGCCACTCTTTCGGTGAGTTGTCTCTTTTCTGAACTTCTCTCAGTCCCTTCTGTCTCATGGTATCTATACCAAAGACCTTCAAAAAGCTTATGGGAAAATGGAATTAAATGAGTTTTAGGGTCAGCCAGTGGCATGGTGGTTAGGGTGGGTGGATCCCATATGGCTGACTCTGCGGTTCCAGTCCCAGGGAACTAGTGGCTCAAAAGACACATCAGACACATGTGCCTGTGTGACTGAGATTCTGAGAGAACGAGAAGGGATTGTGGTATGGCCCTACCACCTAGGGGGTCATTTTTCACTTTCCCTCGCTCTCTGTTTCTCTTTCTCTCTCCAACGAGCACACGCACCCAACAACAAAACTTAAACAAATAAAACAAAAAACGGTACCAGTTTGATTTTAGTGCAAAAAAAAAAAAGTTGAAATCCACACCCAATGTTAAAAAGTTATTTATTTCATTGCATTTGTTATTATAATGTTTAAATTTGACCAGAGAGAGAGAGAGAAAGAAAAAATGAGAAAGCAAGTTGCCAGGTCCAGGCCTTGAACCTCAGTTAGCCATGTGGGAGTCCAGTTCCCTAACCACCACACCACCTGCCAGCCTCCCAATGTTTTCATAATGTGCATTTCCCATGAGCTTTTCGAAGCCCTCCTGTTTATCTGTATGCAAACATTTCCAACTTCCTCAGTCTGCCTCTCTCTCCCCCTCCCCTCCCTCCAGGGCAGGGTGCCATTTGCCGTGCCTGACAAAGTGCTGTGGCCGCAGCTGTGTGAGGCGCTCAACATGAAATTCAAGGCCGAAGTGCAGAGCAACCGGGGCCTGACCAAGGAGAACCTCGTGTTCCTGGCGCAGAAACTGTTCCATAACAGCAGCAGCCACCTCGAGGACTATAACAACATGTCCGTGTCCTGGTCCCAGTTCAACAGGGTGAGGAGCGGCTCCAGCTGCCCGCCTGGGCCCACCAGTGTCCCATCACTGTCACTCTCCCACACCACACAGACAGGTCACTGCCCTGGTCCAGCAATGCTGTCCTGCTAACGGGACAGATGGGGGCTCACGTATAGTAAGAAATACAGACAGGGCCACAGGGGGATTGTACTTGGCAGTGACAGCAAAGCAGATGTTAGAAAGAGCCCAGAGCTGGGAGTCAGGAACCCTGTGTTCTAGGTCCAGATCAGTGCACGAATTCGCCAGAACCTTCTGTTGTCTGTGCCTCAGTTTCCCTCAGGGTGGGGGTGGGGCCGAAGTAACTTTGGAGATCCCTGCCAGGTGAACAGCTGTTTTTCTTTTTTTTTTTTTAAAAGAATTCATTTGATTTCATTTATTATTATTATTATTATTCAGTTTGATCAGAGAGTGACAGAGAAAGGGAGAGTGAGAAGGCAAGCTACCAGGTCCGGGACTCAAACTGTGTGGGAACCCAGTGCCTCAGCCACCACACTGTCTGCCGGCCTCAGTTTTACTTTTGTTTTGTTTTCTTTTGTTTTGTTTTTCCTGAGCTTTTGCTATAGCGCATGTTTGTTTGCCAGTGACAGAGAAAGAAAGGGAGAAATCACCCCCCGCCCCCAGGATGGCCACACCACAGTCCCTTCTCCATTCTCCTCGTGGGATGCTTTCCTTCTTTTTAAAGAATTGTTTATTTACTTTTACTTATTATTATTATTGCTATTATTATTTTAAATTTGACCAGAGAGAGAGAGAGGGAAAGTTAGAAAGCAAGACACCAGGTCTGGGACTTGAACCTCAGTTGAGCATGCAGGAATCCAGCACCTCAACCACCATGCTGCTTGCTGGTTCTTTTTTGTTTTTTCCCCTTAACTTTTGCTATGGGGCACATGTATGCAACAGAGAGAGAGAGAAATCACCTCCCTGGGGGTGGGGGTGGCCACAATGCAATCCTTTCTCCGTTTTTCTCTTGAGAGTTTTGGGCATGCATATGCACATGCACAGCATGTTTTTCAAGTCGCTGGGAGCTGTGCAGTGGGTCATGAGGGATCCAGCCACTTTAACCACCATGCTGCTGGCTGGCCCTGGGCAATTCTGTATGCCTCCCATCCATGGGCTTCTCTCGGTGACCCTCGGGCTGGGCCCAGCAGCAGGTGTTCTTTGGTCTTGGAAGTATGGAGGAGGGCTACTCTTTTTTTTATAATTATTTTAAAGATTTATTTATTTATTTATTTCCATTTGTTATTGTTATTTTTTTCTTTATTTGACAAGAGAGAGAGAGAGAAAGGGAAAGTGAGAAAGCAAGCCACCAGGTCCAGGACTTGAACCATTGTTGGCCATGTGGGAATCCAGCGCCCTTATCCACCATACCACCTGCTGGCCCCGAGGAGGGCTACTCTTTGCTTCCCTAGGATCTCAGTGTGAAGGCCAACAGGGGTGGAGAACTGAGAGAAGGCCTGGTCAAGGACTAGGGGGCACTGACTTACTTGGGCCACCTATGACCCAGGGCACCAGCCCTGACTGGGAGTTTCTTGGGGGGCTGCAGGAGAACTTGCCTGGCTGGAATTACACCTTCTGGCAATGGTTCGATGGGGTGATGGAGGTGCTGAAGAAGCATCACAAGCCCCATTGGAATGACGGGTGAGGAATGCGTGCCATGGGGGTGGGAGGCTGGTGGTAAGCCAGGGGACTGTGACTGCTGGCCTAGCAGTGACAGAAATGCTCCTGCACCCAGGGCCATCCTAGGTTTTGTGAACAAGCAACAAGCCCACGACCTGCTCATCAACAAGCCTGATGGGACCTTCCTGCTGCGCTTCAGTGACTCCGAGATTGGGGGCATCACCATTGCCTGGAAGTTCGATTCTCGTGAGTGCCTGTCTTACCCACACTCTAGCCCCAGGAGCCTGCTCCCACTTTCTTGCTCCTGACTCTCCCTCAGATTGCATCCTTGAAAGGTACCCGTTAAGAGGGTGTTGCTTAGAAATGTACTCCAGGGCCAGCAGGTGGCATGGAGGGTAAAGCAGCTGGACTCCCACATGGTCGACTGTGTTCTGAGTCCTAGACCCAGTGGTTTGAAAATCACAGCAAGCATTTTCTGTATTTGTGCCCAAAATCCCGAGAGAATGGAAGAGAAGGAATTATAGCATGGCCATCCCCCCCATGGAGGGTAATTTTTCACTTTTTCTCTCTCTGTCTCTCTCCTCTCTGGCGAGTGTACATGCCCAATGGCAAAAATATAAAAAAAGAAAAAGAAAAGAAATGTACTCCATGTCATTTTGCATTTTGGAGAACCTAAATTCACTGGCTCCTTGGACTCTAGAACCACCAGGCGAGTCCTCGGGCCGTTCCATGGTCTCCCCCTCAGGCTTGTTGGTATCTACTCGCTCGGTTTGCTGGGTCGAATGTTCTCATGCCCTTCTTCCCTGTACTTCCAGGGAGCACGTGGGTGTGGTTGGGGTGGAAGCTTAGTAAGAGCTCGGATTTCCCCTCAAGCCAGCCTTCAGGCCCTACCACATTGGTCCTCCTGCTGGTGGTGGGTTGTAGAAACGGGGTTGTCCTTTTCACAGCGGACCGCAACCTCTGGAACCTGAAGCCCTTCACCACGCGGGATTTCTCCATCCGGTCCCTGGCCGACCGGCTAGGAGACCTGAACTATCTCATCTACGTGTTTCCTGACCGTCCCAAGGACGAGGTCTTCTCCAAATACTACACTCCAGTGCTCGGTGGGTCCTACCCCAGCGTCCTGTGGCCTGATAGCCCACGCTCTGCCCCAGCCCATAGAAATCTCAGCTGAGCAGCGGGGCTTCCCAAGAAAAGGCCAGGGGCCACTTCCCCTGTGCGTTTTGGTCCACGATAGGTTGGGGAGGATCTCAGGGCTCACAAGTGAAGAAAGGGAAAGTGAAACCTGTCCCAGCTCTCTCTGCAATGTGAAAAGCAGAGCAGACTCTCACTTCTGCACCCTGGGAGGAAGAGGCGCAGCTGGGGGGAGGGCTGGGATCATCCAAACCCGCAGATAAAGCTCTGTTCCCATCTTGACCAACTGCTTTCACCACTCTCCACCCTCCAACCTGCCCCTAAGTTGAGTGTAGGGCGTAAAATGGACAGGTTTTTCCTCTCCGGCCTGGGTTTGCTTCTTGTCAATGGTTTCCTTGGCAGGTGTGGGGGCAGGGAACAAGAAAGCAGATGGCTAGAAAGAGAACCAGGAGATGGGATGGGATTGAAGCCTGGTCTCAGTGACCCTCGGGCTGGGCCCAGCAGCAGGTGTTCTTTGGGAGTTCTTGGGAAAGTGCCCCTCCCTGCCAAGGCCCCGAGGTGACGTGGACAGGGGCAGACTGTATGGGAGCTGGGTTCCATCTCATCTGGGAGCCCCCAGAGACTTTGGTTCTCACCACTGTTGTCCCCTTGGCAGCTAAAGCCATTGACGGGTACGTGAAGCCACAGATCAAGCAGGTGGTCCCCGAGTAAGTGTCCAGGGGCTGGCTCTGGCCTCCTACTGCCACGTTGGGTTTTCTTCCCCAATGCTGCCGCCCTTCCATTCCTGGGCCCAGCATTTGATGTCCTGGGAAACCTGGTTCAGCCCTGGGAGGGAAGTGGGTTTGGCCGTGCCCCAGGCTGAATGGCTACTTTGTCCTTCTATACCCTGAAAAATATGCCCCCCAAGCCCCTGCCCAAAGCAGCTGCTGCCCAGGCTCCCTGCAGCTGGGCTCTGCTTCCCTTCCTCTGCAGGTTTGTGAATGCATCCGCGGACGCCGGAGCCAGCGCCACCTACATGGACCAGGCCCCCTCCCCAGCCGTGTGCGCCCCGACTCACTATAACATGTACCCACAGAAGTAGGTTGTGTTCTCCGGGGTCTGCAGGGGAGGACCTGGGGACTTGGCCTCTGGGTAGAGCCCCGAGAGCTGGTGGGCAGAGCAGCCCAGGGCTCCTCCAGGTCTGAGGGCACCAGCTTATAGGCCTAGTTCTGGCCTGGCCCAGGTGTGGGAAGGATGAGATCAGCCAGGAAAACACATAGTTCTTTTTTTTTTTTTTTTAGGATTATTTAATTTTATTCATTTATTTGTTTTAATTTGACCACACACACACACACACACAGAGTGAGAGAGAGGGGAAGTGAGAAAGCAAGCTGCCAGGACTTGAACTGTGTTCAGCCATGTGGGAGTGTCCAACACCTTAACCACCACGCCACCTGCTGGTCCCCATGCATAGTTCATTTTGAAGCTAGACACAGCAGCATCCTGTCCTTACTCTGGCACTGACTAGCTGTGTAGCTTTGGGGAAATTACTGAGCCTCTCATGCTCAGTTTCCTCATCTATAAAACCGAGGCAGGAACACCTACCTCGAAGGACTGGGGTGAGGCTCGAACCAGACAAGGCAGGTAGTTTAACAGTGGAGGCTGTCTTAAGGGCTTGATACAGGGGAGCTGTTAATGGAGTGGTTCTTAGAGTCAGGTGGAAACAAGGAAAATTCCCTTCTGAGCTGTGGGTGACCCAGGCTTGATCTCTGGGTGTCTTGGACGCAGCAGGGTGAAGTGGGACCACCATAGCCTTGTGAGTCACCAAGACCTGATTCCAATTCTGACTCTGACCACCTTGGAGCAAGTTTCCTGCCATGGCAAACTCAGCTACCTCCTCTATAAAATGGTGTAAAGATGGACCTTGCAGGTGGCCTGGAGTAACTGGTTAAAGGCCCAGCTGTGCTCGGGGCACTGTGTGGTCAACCTGCAGTTCCATGGAACAGCATTGCAGATGGGCAGAACTCGTTGGCCCAAGTACCTTGTTTTACAGCTGAGGACCAGGAGAGTGTTCTCTAAGATCATTCTGTGGAGCAGCGAGAGATGCGAGTAGAAGTACAGTATCCCCAAGGAGCCATTGACTCCACTTAGGGTGGAGGAGTGGGGAGCCAGACAGGAGGTCTTGTTCTCCTAAGACCCTGGTTGGATTTGGGAGCAGTTTGGAGCATTGATACACACCGACTCCCCCTGATGTCCCTTCTCTTTACCAGCCCTGACCCTGTGCTTGACCAGGATGGAGAATTTGACCTGGATGAGACCATGGATGTCGCCCGGCATGTGGAAGAACTCTTGCGCCGACCGATCGATGGTCTCGACCCCCGCCTGTCCCCGCCTGCCACTCTTTTCTCTGCCAGAGGCTCCCTCTCATGAATACTGGACTCCTACGCTTCTCTTCGGAAACCATGTTCAATGTGGCTTTGATACGAATAGTGATTTTAGCATCGCTGTGCATACTGATGCCTTTGTGAGCAGCACATGTACCTGCGTGCGTATGCGTGTGTGCGTGTGTGTGTGTGTGTGTGCAGGTGGTGTGCCTGCTCGCCTGCAGTCCTGGGTGTCTCTACAGATCTGCTGTGGAGGAGACCAAGCTGTGTCATTGCAGGTACTCAAGTGCAGGCAGCTTCCTCTGTGTCCTGTATCTGCTCAGCAGCTATTTGAATGAGACATTCAGGAAGGGAAGAGGGCCAGGCAACTCTCTAAGCTAAAGCCTTAGTCCTGAGTTAGAGCTTTGCTGCCCAAGTGTGTGTGTGTGTGTGTGTGTGTGTGTGTGTGTGTGCGTGCGCACGCGCGCAGCACGCATCTGTCCTCATGTACATGTGTTGGTCTAAGTGATTCCCTCAGGAGGAAGGCTGGGGTTCATTTTGAATGAGTATTTTGTACTTTAATGAATGTGGACTTTGGTGAACTCTCCAGAGCGAGTCAGGCCGTAGCCATGTCCTTTTCCCAGCAGAGCTGGGTTATCTGACTCAGGGCAGTCTTGGCAGCTCTGGGTACGTATCTGTGGCCTCCTGTCCCCGAGCAGGGTGTGGGCTTCGGGCCTAGGATGCTGTTGCCACATTCCACCCAAAACCTCCTCCCTCGGCCGGGGACCAGCCTCCTTGCCTTGCCTGTTTGCAACCTTGCTTATGGGGGTGCGGGGGGCAAGAAATGACCAGTCTGAGATGCAGTGAGTGGATGGGGGCCTGGAACTCGCAGGGCTGACCCCCTCCCCACCCGGAAAAAAATAAGCGAGGGACAGGCAGCAGCCAGCCAGCCACCTGCTGCATGCCTGCAGGATCTGCAGTGAGGAAAATGCTGAGCTCACCGGCAGCTGGGAGGCAGGCCTGGAGTAGGCCTCAGACTCTTGCACAACTGCCTGTGGTCTGAGAAGGCCTTGCTTCCAACCTCAGGGCTCCTCCCTCGGAGACCATGGGCCACCAGCCAGCGGCAGCTGCAGGAGGAGGGTCAGGAGGCCCAGGCTTAAATGTCTCTGAGGGCAGATGGGGGTGGGAAGAGGGATTCTTTGTACATAGACCACACATCTGTGTAAACAGTGTTTTTGAATAAAGTATTTTTTTCATAGATGGGCGGCTGCAGCTCCTGGTTTGGGGAGCTGGTGGTGGTCTCCCTGGGTGACGGGGATCACTGGAGCTGGAGTCGGTTCATCCCTCCCCTCCTGTGTGGCTGATACTGCACTTTCCAGCCTGAAGCTACAACCTTGCTTTTTCTGTTTTGAAGGGTGCTGACCACCTGGAACACTGTCAGTGCGTCTTGGAAGGCTGAAGACCTAGGTTAGGGGGCACACATTCCTAAGAAAAGGGGAGAGAAGGGGCAAGGACCAAGAGGAGAGGAGGTCTAGGGACCCAAGTGCTGAGGCCTAGACCTGCCCTTTAGCTGCTGCTATAAGGTGATCTCTGAGGGCCAGTGCCAAGGTGAATGTCAAACTTTCTGGGCAAAGGAGGGCCGCATTAGCCCCACCTCCCCAGGCCTCTCCTGACACCAGCAGGTGGCACCCTCCCACAGCTGGCCTGAGAAAGGAAGGCTAGGGCAGAGAGAACAGAGCTGTCACCCTGCCCCCCTCCCACCCCCACCCCAAAGGCTCTGAGCTGCAGCCAGTCCAGGGGTAATCACCGCAGGGCTGAGACTCAGGGCGGAGACTCGGAACACCTGCTCCCTTGGAGGGGGCAGGGAGCAAGGATCTGCAGCAAGTTTCCTCAGAGCTCAAAGCGAGAAGGGGGGGCAGGCGCTCACAGCTCAGAGACTGCTCCAAGGAGGCGCAGAGGCCCAGAGCGGGGCTGGTGGGGGCTGGCGGCGGCGGAGCGCAGCCGCTGCCTGCCAGTGCGGCCCCAGCGGCCCCCAGCGCACTAATCTGTTCCATCTCTGCAGCGGAAGGCGCACGTATCTCACAGCGCCTAGGCTTACTCGCTCGCTGGTCTCCATGGCACTGGGGCGGTGCGAGCGGAGGGGGTGGGGAGAAGCCAAGTGGGCGCTGCAGTGGCGCGAGTTCCCTGAATTATCACCGCTGACTGCTCAGGGGCCTGGAGCAACCAGCCCGGGAAGTCGGTCCCCAAGGGGTGAACTGAAGAGTGATAATGGAGCCAACTACAGAAGCGAGGAGGCCTGGCGGGTGGGGGGGGATGGGAGTGTCTACACCCCAGTCCCCCTTAGGAAGCTTATCTGCCCCCAGACAGGAGGAAGCAGTTTTGGAGGGGAGGCAGAGGCCTTCCCTGCTCCTCATTCACCCGTCCTGAGACCGGTGACCGGGTGGCTGACCCTTGGTGGGAAGCCGCACCATGGACTTGGGATTGAGGGGCTGGGGCAACCTCAGCCTGGGCCCCTCTCTGAACTGAAGCAGGGAAAGGGAGCCTCCACCGGCCATAGACGGAACCACCACACTATCAGATGGTTCCTATATAACTTTTATTTCTGGAAGTTAGATACAGCAATATACAAAACAAAACCCGCACAATAATATAAATTTTTACACTATGAAGTATACATTGGAATTTGAGTGCAGTGGCCAAGACAGCTACCAACCACTGTCTAGGTAGATTAAGCGTCCCACGGGAACCTGGGCTGGGCTGGGGACAGCATGGGGGTTGAAGAGAAGGCAGACAGGTCCTGCGGACTCCGTTCTTTAAAGAAGGGGCCAGAACAAGCCTCAGCCCCACTCAGAGGCTTTTTTTTTTTTTTTACAATCAGTTAAAACCAGATACACATGCTACCCAGAGCCACAAACTTTACAATACCTGCTCCCAAGAAACCCGAACCCTTGCCTTGTCCCTATGATTTGAACCCAATGTTAAGTCCAAGTCTCTCCTCTAAATACCCGCAGTTTATGAGTCAAGCTTATTGTGTACTAACGAGTGCTACTGGAGAAGGAAGAGCTCCGTCCTGCTAGTGACCATTGCTAGGCAGGAGGACCGGGATGGCACAGAGCGAGCCCTGACCATCTGGAAGGTCTTCACCCCTTAATTCAGACACAAGCTAATATGGGCCTAACCAAGAGAATTCCAAAGAAACTCTGTGATCAGCTGAGGCAAGGTGGTTTTGCATCATTGAATCAGCCACCCTCTAGGTCAGGGGGCCCACTGCTAAGTGTCCCAGATGCACAGCGGGGGGAGCTGACTGGCTGGGGCTGACACGAAGGCCACCAGAGGTGCCGGCACTCTAGCTGTTCTGCCTCACCCAGGGGCCCCTTGGGGAAGGAGACAGTCACAGCCTGGGGAGAAGCAGGTGGTACTCTCACACCAGGACTGACCTCAAGTTTACAATAAGCCTTTGCCCTGTGTGCACCGAGTGAAGTGATTACGGGTGCTGCTGGAGACCACCAAGAAACTGGGGTAAGAACCGTATCCCTGAGCTCGACTAGACACTTTGCTGGGGCCCCACTGTCTAGTCATGTCCAACCTGTGATCCTCCCCTCTTCTTTCATGAGGCCCTGAGCCCAGGACTCCTAACGCAGACAGGACGGGGCCCTTACACACTGGGAGGAGGGTGCCACAGGCAGGGCCAAGGGGACTGGGGGAAAGGAAGCCAGAACCATCCTAGCGCTGATAAGGCACCCGCAGAAACCACCGGGGCTCTGAAACAGAAGCAAGGGAGTGAAGGCTTTCATTGGAAGCCCCCTCTGTCCAGCCCTACCCACTAAAAGGCCATTAAGCACCCTCTGTCCAGCCCTACCCACTAAAAGGCCAATACATGACAAGGAAAATAAAAATCTGTTTATCAAAAATGTCTAAAATATTTTTGGTTCTCCTTAAACTTTCTATTTTGAAACCAAAGAGCAAGGCCCAGCTTCAGATGTCTTTTAAGGGTTTGAGCTGAAGCCCATTTCAGGGTTTATATAAATGATCAGCCCGAAGAAAGCTGAATGCTTAAAGCACCACGGAGGTCATGAACTCGGTTTTCTTAAATACAGAAAATCTACGCTGATACAGTGTTGTTCTGTCCTTTAATCATTATTATATATTTTTTAATTTAAAGAGAAACGAGGGGCTTAGACAGTCCTATCGTCTACTCGGATGTTAGGCAAGGTTAAAAGTGCAACGCCAGGCGTACAGAGCGGCGGGCGGCCTTGGCATCACTTGAAGAACAAGTGGCGGGATGCCGCTGGCACCAGGAGGCACTTGTCTCACAAGCTGCTGAGAAAGGAGGGCAGGGGAACACAAAAACACAAGACACTTCCTTTCCTCCCTCGAGCCACCCCCCCCCCCCCACCTCCGATCATGGTCTCAGAGCGTACAATCTTATTTGCATTGAGATAAAAGCATATCACCCACATTCGTTCATGTCTCTATTTTAAAAAGTGCCCAGATTGCTCAAAGATAGCAGAAGTAGGAGATTAAAAAAAATAATAAATCCGGAACCACAAAGTTAGGAGTCTCGGCTGATCGGGGGGTGGCTGTTTAAGGGGTGGCAGAACGCACGCAGGTGCCTCGGTCACATCTCTCTGCAGCTTCCGCTCTCGGCTCCTCACATGGGAGAGGTAGCGCACTCCGAGGTCAGCTCCATATCGAATGTGAGGGACTCTGCAAGGACAGACAGAGAGCTGGTTTAGTCACCTGACCCCTGCAGCTGGCAGGCACACTCCCAGCCCGTTAGGGGAGAGGGTACAGGCCACCCTTGGCGTCACAGACAGCTGTCCACTCCTGCCCTGAGGCCAATGGAGGGCCAGAGAAGCCAGATTCCCTCTCCCGAGGGCCCTGCTTGCCCTCTGCAAGGGCTCCGTCTTCTCCTGACCCTGCCTCACTCTCAGCTTTCCGGGTTGAAGTAAGTCCAAGCACACGGCATGTGCGATACACCCGGTTCACATGGAGCTGTGCTATGGCTATCAAGAGCCCACAGAACTTCAAAGGTTTAGTATGGAAAAATATCTTTTTTTCCTCCCCTCCCCCCCTAAATGATGAGAGAACAGTATATTGGACTTACTGGGTTAAATAAAATACATTGCTAAAATAAACTTCACCTGTTCCTTTCAACTGTGTGTGCCATGGTTACTAGAGAATGTGCACCCCCACGGGGGGCAATCCGTTTCTGCAAAACTTCCTTCTACCCATCCGGGTGACCAGCTCGTGGGCATCACACTACGGGGATGGCTGTCTCACGGGAACAAGGGTTGTCAACTCAGTACTCACCAAACTGCCCTCCTGCTGAGGGTTCTGCACCTTCACCATTATTTCCAAACTGCATCAATGAATCTAAAGTGCGGGGGGACATCGGCAGGTCAATGGTATTGCTGCAGGTCGTTCTGTAGGAAATGGGGAGCAGCGGGAAGGGAAAGGGCCGGGTTGACAAGACACAATGGAGGAAAAAAAAAGAACAAAACACACACACACAAGCCATCAAACTCTGGTCTCCAACAGAAAAATAAAAGCTCAAGCTTTTTAAACACACAAGGTCACTTTGAGTACTACACATAGCCCAAGGGCTTCCAACCCTTCGCAGGAAAACTCTCACCCCGGGTCTTTTTCCCAAGGATAACTGAGGACATTAGAAATGAAGGCAAAATTGGGAAGGGAAGCCACTTACGGTGTCACGCAGATAAACTTGGTCTTCAGGTATGGGGCGGCACCTGGAAAGAAGAAATCGGGGCTCACGGACTTGACCTCGCCCTGAGCGCAGGGCAGAAGGAAGTCTTACCCTGGCTGATCTCGACTCACTCCAATCTCCTGCAGAGACTGTTTGGAAACCGCCATCTGCCCCTCAGGCTGCCCTCCTTCACCCCCATACTATCTGATGTCCTAGGCACCTCAGCTTCCGAGTTCCGTTCTTTCCACAAAGTTTTCCTGAGCTGCAGAGACTTTTCCACACACCCCTATCTCCCTTGAGCTTAGATTAATGCCAACCCTGTGTTCATTCTCCCCTTAGGTTATGCAAACATTGAACTGCCTCCCCGCGGTCTGAGGATTCTATTCTGGCCTGGTCGTACCTCTTAGATAACCTCTCTGTGTGAGAGAACCAAGCCTCTGTAGTCTTTGCGTGGTGTCCAGTCCAGATACCAATGTCACCAAGTCCTTAAAAGAACATGGAGACTGCTAATGCCTGTGGTTCCAAAAGCGAGGTTTATACCTTCTTTTATCAG